TCCCTGTGAAATTTATGGGGTCACCATAAGTGGACAGGTGACTTGAAGGCACACACACAGAGTTACAGTCACACAGTGAAGAGAAATGTGCCAGCCGCCCAGTTTGCGATTATGGAGGGGATTTTTTTGGATGGGTGGATTAAGGGTCTTCCAGCCTCCTTTTCCTCTGGTTCTCATTGCATTTGGAGATGTGCCTTAAAGAGTGTCCCTTAAAGATGTCCCTTAAAAAGATGTTCTCTTGTGCAAGTCCCTGTTTTTGAAATGCAGGTTCCTACTCACGCTCAAGGTGGACCTTGCACAGAAGAAGTTTATGCCCATATAGACAGAGGAACTGGGGCTTCTGGAAAAGCAAAGCCTGTTCTCAGGCTTAAAAAGGAAATCTTTAAAATGCAGGAAGGCATTTCTTTCTTTTTTTTTTTTTTAAATGCAGTGACGGAGGAGCAAAGAGAGGGGAGATAATTTGCTATTTCATTTCTATGGCCTGCTAGCTCATTCCAAGAGAATTGCCCCGGAGGCGGTGTGGTTTGTGTATGAAAAAGCAAGGGTGGATGGGCACATGGTGATCCGTGAGGAGGGGTCCTTTTCTATAGGCAAATCCAAGGCAGAGTATGTGTGTGGGAGGTGGGGTGGGGATGCTTTGGTTACAGTGTGTTTCCTTGCAAAACCACACATAGCGGTGTTTTGATTTTGCTTTGCCTTCCCACTTATGTGCTTGGCTGTATGACTGAGGAGGTATTTCCCCTTCTGCCTCCCCACCAGCCAATTTTCAGTAGTTCCTGATGATCTCATTCCGCCCTCATTCACTTTTGAGCATGCAAAAAATGGAGAAAATAGGGGGGGGGGTTGTCATTATTATTATTATTATTATTATTATCATTATCATTATCATTTTGTAAAGCATTTCTCCAGATTCAAACCTGGAGTTCAGCCTCAGTTCAGCTTTGCTTCCATTAGCTGGAAAAAAACAATATCATAATCATGATTATTTATCAGTTTGCAAAGAGATCTTGTTTCACCTTTGAGACTAACTAAAAGAAAGAAAGCTGGTGGCGCAAGGTTGCGTAGACTTGAGCCTGCTTCCTCAGATGCAGGATCATCAATATTCATAATTACAGTAGTTGCGATAATAATGTATGGTAATAAGAATAGTTTTAAAAATGAATGTGATTATTGAGTTAAGGCAAAAGAAGAGAGGAGCCAGAGCACCTAGCTCTGGCAGTCGAACGTAATTTACACGTTACCTGGTCAGTACTGAATTGACTAAATGGGTTATCTATCTCAGTTGAAATGGTGTATTGCAAAACTAGGAGACAGTGTGGTATAGTGGTTTGTGTGTTGGACTACAACTCTGGAGCCCAAGGTTTGTTTCCTTGCTGGGCCATAAAACCCACTGGATGATCTTGGTCACTTGCTCTCAGCCTCAGGGGAAGGCAGTGGCAAACCTCTAAACAAACCTTGCCAAGAAAATCCCACAATAGGTTCGCCTTAGGGTCACCATAAGTCGGAAACAATTTGAAGGCCCACAAGAACAACAATAATAATGAGGAATTTTTAAAAGGTTGGATTGAATGTTTAACCCCTCCATCCTTGGAGGACTGTCATGACATTTCCCTCTTCCCTGAAAGTGTGGCATGTTTTCTGCTTTGGCCAGGATTGTTCTGAGGCAGGGGTAGGCAACCTAAGGCCTCGGGGGGG